TAAATAATAATAAAGTTCCGTACAGTTCTACAGACAGGTTGGCTTGCAGATCAAAATATCACTATTATTCGAAGCCCAAGGTGACTCTTTATACTGCTAATCACATCAATCATATCTGAGAACTGTAGCATCAGATATTTATCATTCATAGTTCACAAAAATAAAGAAAGAAACACAAAAGAATCAAAAACAAGCAGCCGACCCGCTGCCTCCAGTGATGGAGCAACTGACATCAGAACCTTGACCGATGTCTGATTCAGTCAATGAACGACTTCTCATGATTATTTCATGCTGGCGTTACAAAGAAGCTGCCTGTCTGCAGAGCCGCAGCGCAGACAGAGTCATGAATAATGCCAGCACCCACAGGGCTTTAAACACTGGCTCTGTGATGTTTTTATTGCACAGGGATCAATAGGGATGAAATATACAGGAGCTCAGCAAACAGCTGGAGGTGCAGAGGAAAACTGAATAATCAGTCGTCTGTTGTTCAATACACTGCCACAGCATGACCGGATTACAAAAACATATTAACTATACAATGATATAAATGTGTTATATACTTGAGACTGATGGATAAGGACTTTTTGGGGCAGATGCCGATATTGAGGAGTTTCTAATAACGATATATCGGCCAATTTAATTACAACTTTTTGCAATTTTTTTATAATGTTATCAAACCTTGATGACAGAGAAATTAAAACATGTTTTGTGTTATAAAGTATAAACGTAAATCTTTTCTTCATTGTTGATTCTGTAAAATAAAATCATGCTAATGTGCAAAACCAGACCCAGCTTTAAACTTAACTCGTGCTCAACAACTACAAATGTATGAAATATTACCTCTTGCAGTGAGCAGCTCGTAAACACATCGTCCTCTTCGTGTATTGAGTCTGATGTTAGAAAACTTCTCCTCAAGCGGATCATTGCCATCGGCCGTGTTTTTTAATATTTTGAGTTTGAGTTGAGCTCCTTCAGTGCGCACAGCCCTGGTGACACTGTGCTGAGGTCTTCCTGTGCGTGTGACTTAGTGCACGACTGTGTCAAAGAGGAAGTCCTAGTCAATCGACGGTTGAAAAGCCATAATCCCACAAAACTGCATTTCCCCCTCGTGACTGTCCTGCTGTTAATTCAATTGCACAATGTGAAGCTTTTTATTCAATCTCCAACAAAAATAAATATCTGATACCCTAAAATGGCAACTTAATTGTGGTTTTATCATTTGGTGGAGGTAAATGTTTCATTTCATGAGTTTTAGTTGGGTCTCAAGGTTGTAAAACCTTCCCAGCATCGGCGTCATGTAAAGCAAACTTTAAAAAACAAAAAAATATGTGTTCTGTCAAATACTCGCTCTCGTTATGTAAGTAGAGGCTGCACCGGCAGGCGGACTCATTAAGAATTCACAGGATGTCTTGTAATTCATTACAGCAGCGGCATGTTCCTGAGCAGCTGGTGTTGGACATCTGGTGTGAACAGACTGACCGCCTGATCAATACTGAGCTCAGAAACCAGTGACCCACAGCGGGACGGAAGTTGACCTGGTCTCCTGAGGAGGCTGCTCTCTTTGATACTACACTGTGCTTCAAGGAAAGCTTGCACCAGGTCGACAAGTGTCACAGTGTGCTGAAGTTTCAGAAAGTAAAATCCTTTTAATCAAAGACAATATTAGATAACTCAGGGCAATTTCTAATTTATATTATTTGGTCCCTCTGACTGCAGGTGCTTTGGCATCATACCGTTATATGGTCATGGGTAATAATTCAACTTATCTGCTTCTGATTTTTTATTTTGTCCAGGCAGCATTGATAACACAACAACAGCAAATGTGCTTGTTTCACAGTCACTCAATATGATTTGAGTTTCCTCGTTTGAACTTAATCTATGTCATCAATAAATTATGCATACTGGTCAATGCAAGACCTGAGTTTAAGTGGAGACAGAGCTCTACACAGTGTCAAACCCTCAGTGAAGGAGCAGGCTGCACAGTCCTTTAGATGGCAGCCTGACAACAAAGTTCGAGTAGGAGTGATGTAGCAGGAGGAGGAGGAGGAGTTCCAAATGTTCACCTCCTCTCTCGTCCTCTTTCCTCCTCTTTCCTCTCAGGCACAGATGAACCTGCTCTGCTGCATACCACAGAGAGCTGGGCCATGCAAACACAAAACATTCACATATAAACACACTGCTTGGCAAACCTTTAGGTACAAATCGCACTGATGCACACACACTTGCAAAGTCGCACATGTACACATATGTCCTGATATGCCTTAAGACATATACACATACAAATAAATCGTCAACTTCTCTATTTCCTTGTATGTTA